TATATATATATATATATATATATATATACTGATTAAAGGGGATAATTTTTCAAAAATAATCAATAAGCTATAATTTTTTCATCCTAAAATTTCTTAACTTCATTTTGTTTCACAAATATTACAATATTCAAGATGATATCATGAAACTCGATCAAACCTAGTACAAAAAATTAATTTTTCAAATAGCGAATAGCGATCTGATATGACATAACATAAAAATCTTGACATTTTTTGTAAAAAATTTCATGAGAAAATTCATCATTATATCATATATTAAAAATATATATATATTTTTAATTCTAAAACGATGAGAATTTGAATAAATCATTTTCCGTCCCTCAGCTTGCCCCTGATTTGAGCTAGTAAATATTTGTATTCCTTTTTAACACTATTAACCTGTTATATATAGTTGACACAAAAATAATTTTAATATAAATATTGCTCTTCTATTTATATTTTACTATATTTATATATGGACAATTTTGACATATAGCAAATAAAAAATTCATATTTGTATGTTATAGCAAAGTTTGCATAATTGCGCTGCATAGCAAACATAAAACTGTATAATTCGCTATACATATACAATTGTATAATTCGCTGACCTAAATTGTATAATTCGCTAGCCTATTTCGCTGCAATTGTATAATTCGCTATCCTATTTCACTGCAATTGTATAATGCACAATTGTATAATTCGCTGCCTATTTCGCTGCAATATTTTTATAAAATTTGTTTTGCATACAATTGAATCGAATTAAAATGTATGTATATTGCATAACTGTAAGTGTATAGCAAGAAGATATATGTTTTTCTCTCGCTTTATACAAAAATAGAAACACAATATATACACTTCTGTTGTATAAAGCTAGAGAAAATTGTGTTTCACTGCAATTGTATAATTCGCAATTGTATAATTGGTTGGCCTTTTTCTCTGCAATATTTGTATAAAATTTGCATTTGTCTACAATTGAATTGAAGTAAAATGATTATAAATTGTACAATTAAGTGTATAACACGAAGATATATATTTCTGCATGTGTATATACAATTTTCTCTCGCTTTATACAAAACAGAAACAAAATTTATACACTTCTGTGTATAAAGCGAGAGAGACGAGCAGAGGAAGAGTGGCGAGCGAGAATGGGAGAGTGGCGACGAGACTTTTGGGACAGAGGCGCCTGACAAACTTTGGCTAACATTTGCTATGGAGCACACTTAAATCAAACCCTAACTACTCCATTTATTTTATGTTATTAGTTCACTATTATATACAATTTTCCTTTTATATATTTAACTTACCTATCAAAAACGTTTAATTTATTTCTTAAACGCAAGAAGTAAGTCGGTCCACAAAAGTGTGGACCATGTTATGTATTATTTACTGTCTTCTAATTTAGAAATTTTCTCTTACATACCATCAATTAAAATTTAAAATGCATTTCACGTGGATTTTATTATAATTATTTTTTTTTGCAACTTCTAGCCAGTAGCATAGTACAATAATACAGTATATGGCCGATAAAATTCAGGCCACATAAATTTAACAAACATGTAATAAGTACCGACTTCGAAAAAAGTCGGAAAAATAGAAATTAGCTATGACTTATATCGTTAAATTATTAATTTTCCAACACATTTCATAAAGTAAATTCTACGGAATATCAAAAAGGAATATACCCTCATTTTATTATTGTACTATTCTCTAAGTGTTTTTGAGTATCACCTTTGCTTTGGAAGAACTTTTAACAAGAAAGTGATGAAGGAATCACATTGTGGGATGCTAATAGAGTCACATGTGTATTTATACGTGGTATTGCTTTGTATTTAGATTCTCAAATTAGAAATAATAAAAGATGAAAAGAAAAAAAAAACTATTTAAATCCACACAAGTTATTGTATGTCCTTAAGAAATTTAATCTTCTCAAGTATCAAATCCACAATCTCGGGTACTTGAGAAGATTAAATGTTTTAACCATTAAAGAAGTAAAGTATCTCAAATTTTGATAATTTCAACGAACTCAAAAAGACAGCAACGATATCTCAAACATATATAATCAATTTTCTTTGGTGAGAAAAGTATGTAGAAGAGGGGAATAATTCATGCAGAAAAATTAGATCTCTCTATTTATAGCCAAAGAATAAAGGTCACAACTCTTGAAAAAAAGATAATCTTTCAGAAATGTCATAATTTTTTTAAAAAAATGCTACTTTCAAATAA